AAATGAGCCCAAACACGACTATGCTCCGCTTACTTTGAAAATTCCTGCAGACACGCGACGCACGACCGCGACGCGCCGGATAAATCAAAGTGGACGGAGCCTAGTCGTGTTTGGGCTCATTTTGAAGCTCTCAGCTGGACAAAATCAAAATTTTAAATTTCAACTCTCAACTTTCACAAATACAGTAACCCTGACAGTTTCAAAATCTCAATTTAAGCTCCGCCTACTTTGCGGAGTCCCAAATCTCAAAATGGGCAAAGCCTAGTAGTGTTTAGGCTCATATTGAAGCTCTCAACCTCACAAATTCTAACTTTCGAATTTCTACTTGACATTTTCAAAACTACAGTAACCCTGACCGTTCCACTCTTTTAGGTAGGCTCCGCCCACTTTGAGCTAGTCACATTTTTTAAAAAATCTGAGTTTTAGGCTGAATTTAGCTGAAAATTTTGATATTCCGACTTAAAAATCTTTATTTTCAGGTTTTCGACTGGTTTCTGGCTCGTCAAAACTCGCCAAAGTCCCAAAAATGCTCAATTTTGAGCCAAAATACGGAGAAACAGCGAGAAAATTTGAAAATCGTGAGCCAAGGATTAAATCAGCTGCCGTCAATTTTTATGAGATGTGTCCCACCGAAAATCGGCGAAAAATCAATGGAATCAATCGATTTTCTGGAGACGGAGCTTGTGAATTTGACCCGAAAATTGGAAAAATCCAAAGAAATTCAAAACAGCCAACAATCGAGAATTTTGGAATTGGAGGCGGAGCTTGCGAGAGCAGGCCACGCCCACTTTTTGGAAAACGAGATTTCGGAGAACAGAAAGCGGCTGGAAGAGCTGGAAGAGTTTTTGGAGGTAGGAGCAATTTTTGAAAAATCTGAAAAAATCTGGAATTCCAAAATTTCCAGCTCTGTCACTCCAAATCATCGGCTCTTCAGCGATCAGCGGAAAAGGGGGCGGAGCCTAGCCAAAAGTGGGCGGAGCCTAAACGTTCCAAACATCAGTTGTTTCAATCCCAACCCCAAATCGAAATAGACAAGGAGGATGGATCAAAAGGGGCGGAGCCTGCGGATACTGTAGTTCTTGTCAACCAAATCGAAACGTATGATGCGCAGGTGGATACTGTAGTCTTGGAAACGGACACTGTGGATTACTGTAGCTCATCCGAATCTTCCGAGTGGGACGACTTGGAGGATACTGTAGTTGTCAATGAAGCAGATTTGGAGGGATTACTGTAGCTCTCAAGGGATACTGTATGTCGCCAAGTTTGATGTGCAGATTTCGTTGGATTACTGTATTTTTTGTATTTGTATATTCTGAAAATTTTCCAATAAACAATTTTTTTCAAAAGATTCAAATTTATTACAAACGAGATTACTGTAGATGTTGAAAAAATAAAATGGATTACTGTAGTTCCTGGGGATTACTGTAGGTAGGTTATTAGGAGGGCTTTTAAAGCAAAAAACAAAAGGAAAAAAGTATACTGTAGGGATTACTGTAGCTGGTACAAGAGAGGGCTACTGTAGTTCAAGATTACTGTAGTTGTCAAATGGGTACTGTAGTTACTAGACATTACTGTAGTTTTTTACTGTAACTACAAAAAAAAGGAAAAGAGGGATTACAGTAGATTTCAGAGGGTTACTGTAGCTCCTGGATTACCACAGCTGAGCTTCAAGGGGTACTGTAGTCACTAGGAATTACTGTAGCTACAAAAAACGGAGAAAAAAGGGGATTACTGTAGATCAAAACCAGTTTTTTACGAAAAAGGAGGTATTGGGTTACTGTAATTTTCCGAGAACTCCTGTAGCTCCAAGATCACTGTAGCTAACTTAAAAATGGATAATTTTAGATGGATTTTCGCGGGAAAAAGGAAAAAAACGGATTACTGTAATTCCCGAATTACTGTAGCTAGCTCAAAAAAGGATACTGTGGATGGATTTTTGTGGAAACAAATTCTACTCGTTACAAGCTTCAAAATGAGCCCAAACACGACTAGGCTCCGCCCACTTTGAAAGTTCACATATGCACGCGACGCACGACCGCGACGCGGTAAAAAAACCGAAATGGGCGGAGCCTAATAGTGCTTGGGCTCATTTTGAAGCTCATAACGAGTTGAATGCAAATCAAAAGCTAGAAATCAATTAGAGATTGGATTACTGTAGTTGTGCTGAAAAAATGGGTTACGGTAGCTCAAAAAAAAAAAAGGCGAAATCGGTAATTCTAAGTGGATTTTTGCGGCGAAAAAGAGGATTTTTGACTACGATGGTAGTTCTTGGATTACTGTAACTCATCATCCTCGTCAAACCACCCAATCTCCTCATCATATCGATTTTTGAGCTCCGTCAAATCGTCTTCCAACTGCAAAATTTGGCGATCCTTCCGGGCCAGTTTACGCCGTAATTGTCGATTCTCCTCCTTGAAATTGTCCAAATCCTCGTCCATCCTTCTGACTTTCCGTTTCAGACGGTTCACGTATTCCGGATCGTCCACGGATTCTCGAAATTCAGCGTGCTCTTTTTGGAGCTCCAAAATTCTGGATTCCAACTTTTTTATCGTCGATTTGAAGCCCTGAAATTGGGCTGAAATTTTCAGATTTTCAGTTTTTTCTTCGACACGTCGCTCATGCATTTTCAGCATCGTACTGTAATTTTCAGCCAATTCCTGGTCCTTCTCTTTTAGCTGAAATTTCAGATCCGACTCGATATAATGGGTGAGGGCTCGAATTTTGGCATTTTTTAGGTCCAATTTTGATTTTTCTGCATTTTCAGATGTTTCCGAATCCAAAACATTCTGTAATTTTTGAATTTCCCGCTCGCCAGCCTCTTTTGAGTACTCCAAAATGCCAATTTTCAACTCTAAATCGCGAATTTTCCGATCTTTAGCTAACATAGCTAGATTTTGCTCCTCTTCCTCCTGGATTATCGATTTCTTAGAAGACTCCGCCCCCTTTTTGAGCTCCTCAATTTGCTTCGATTGCTCAGAAATCGTTTGGAGAAGTGAATCGCAAGTCTGTTCGGATTCCCGTAGCTTTCGTCTCAATTTGTTGGATTCCGAGGAAGTGGTGGGCGGAGCTATCGGCGAGAAAAGGGGCGGAGCGTCAGATGTCTTTTCGTCGATGAACGATTCATGGAGGTTGAGTCTGAGAATTCCAAAAATTTTGACTTTTTTCTTTGAAATTCGGCTAAAAAACCCGAAAATTCGTGCCTAAAAATTCTGAGAAAATACTAAAATCGCAAAAAGTGGGCGGAGCCTAATCTTTTATTGCATTTTGATTCCAAATTTAGATTTGGCTTGTTATGCGCTTCAAAATGAGCCCAAACACGACTAGGCTCTGCCCACTCTGAGTTTTCCGGACGCGTCGCTGTCGTGCGTCGCGTGCTTCTCTGAAATTTCGAAATGGGCGGAGCCTAGTCGTGTTCGGGCTCATTTTGAAGCTAGTATCAAGCGAAATTCAAATTCAGCCAAGTCAGGGGTTTCAAAATAAGCCCAAACACGACTAGGCTCCGTCCACTATGAAATTCCACCTAGATCCGCGACGCACGACCGCGACGCGCCAGAAGAACCATAATGGGTGAAACCTAGTCGTGTTTGGGCTTATTTTGAAGCTCTGATTTTGTTCTTTTCGAATTCCAAAAAATGGAAAATTCAAAACTTCAAATTTCCAAAAAAAAAACCAAAAAAGTTGAAATTTCGAAAATTTTGATTTTTTCTCATAACTTTCTAAATTTTGCATCAAACTCAAAATAATTTATTTATTCGTTCCAAACAACTGCAGAGCTTTAAAATGAGTCTAAACTCGACTAGACTCCGTCCAGTTTGCTTTTTCAGACGCGTCGCGGTCGTGCGTCGCGTGCCCTATGTGAAATTTCAAAATGGGCGGATCCTAGTCGTGTTTGGGCTCATTTTAGAGCTGAAAACGAGCCGAATTCTAAAATCGTAATCAACAATTAAAGTAATAAACGCACTCGTCGGATTTTAGGACTTTTAGAAAAGTTCAGCTTCAAATTCTGATAATTTGATTTTTTCCGCTCAAAAAAACCCAGGTTTTCAGATTTTTTTGGCTCAATCTAGCGTAAAATTTATCTGGAACTTCGAACTTCAGCTAATTACCACACTAATTACCCTTAATTACCCCTTAATCACCTTTTCTCATATTCCTCTTTCAATGAAATTGAATTCTCCTTTTGCCGACACATTTCCTCTTCGTTTCGCTGATTTTCAAACCAGTTGCTGACCTGGAGAAATTTAATTAGTTAATTGGTCAATTAAAAAATAAATTGACCAATTAAAAAATATCCCTAAAAGAGCTTTAAAATGGCTCAAAATCGCTCAATTTCGGCTCATTTTTTCCTTTTCAATTGTTCTGCCTAATTAATTACCCTGATTAACTAATAAACTCACAAATTCAGAACTGGCACCAACAAGAATTCCAATATAATCGATTTGAACGTCATCTGGATACGGATTCTGATCGAAATGCATTTTCAAAGTTTCCAATATTTCATCAGAATTTCGAAATTTCGGATTTTCGATATTCTCATTTTGATCCATCGATTCGTCATCGGTATTATCGATTGATTGGGATGGGGAGAGATATGGATCATTATCCATGATTTTGCTGAAATTTAAGAACTTTTTTTTTTTTGGAAATTTTCAAAAATCTGAAAATCGAAAAATCTGGAAAAAAAATCCAGAAAATGATGAGAAATCAACAGAAAATGAACATTTGTTGGTTTTTTTTTCCGCAAAAAGTGAATTTGGAAAATTTTTGGCTCCCAAAAATTTTGATCTACTGAAAAAAATTTTTGGGAATTTTTTTTGGAAAATCTGGAAACTACAGTAATCCATTATTCAGATCGAAGTCAGCAAAAACTGAAATTAGATTAGAAACAATTCAGAAAATCAGAAAATCAGAAATTCAGAAAATCAGAAATTCAGAAATTCAGAAATTCAGAAATTCAGAAATTCAGAAATTCAGAAATTCAGAAATTCAGAAAATCAGAAATTCAGAAATTCAGAAAATCAGAAAATCAGAAATTCAGAAATTCAGAAATTCAGAAATTCAGAAATTCAGAAATTCAGAAATTCAGAAATTCAGAAATTCAGAAATTCAGAAATTCAGAAATTCAGAAATTCAGAAATTCAGAAATTCAGAAATTCAGAAATTCAGAAAATCAGAAAATCAGAAATTCAGAAATTCAGAAATTCAGAAATTCAGAAATTCAGAAATTCAGAAATTCAGAAATTCAGAAATTCAGAAATTCAGAAATTCAGAAATTCAGAAATTCAGAAATTCAGAAATTCAGAAATTCAGAAATTCAGAAATTCAGAAATTCAGAAATTCAGAAATTCAGAAATTCAGAAATTCAGAAATTCAGAAATTCAGAAATTCAGAAATTCAGAAATTCAGAAATTCAGAAATTCAGAAATTCAGAAATTCAGAAATTCAGAAATTCAGAAATTCAGAAATTCAGAAATTCAGAAATTCAGGAATTC